TAAGAGAAGGCCAGAAAATTCCGTAGAACAAAATTGCGGCAGATAAGTTCTACTTCAATTATTTCTTTGTAAGAGCGGCGAAACTGCAATGAAGGCTTTTGTATTTGTGTGTACCATCGACACCTTCAAATGCAAAAGCTTTCGTTGCAGTTTTGCCGCTCTTACAAAGAAGTAATTGAAGTAGAACTTATCTGCCGCAATTTTGTTCTACGGAATTTTCTGGCCTTCTCTTATCAATAAATCAAATTTCATTTTTCCCACTTGGATATCCATCCGAAACACTCATACATGTTTCATGAATACATTTTGTGACGAAAATAAGAATGGAATAGCAAGAAATCAATCTGATTGTGATAAAAAAAACAAATAAAAATCCCCCAATGGTGGCATTTTAATAACAGAATTGTTTCTTGATGGAACGAGCACATGGTGTTTGTCAAGAATGCTTCACTTTTTTATTTGGCTTTTATGATTATTGGAATTTTCTGTCTACAGCATCTGGCGTTGCAATCCTCGGTCAGGATGGCTTGATTTCATGAAAAATGATATTTCTTCGGTTTCATGAAGCATTCGTTGCTGTTTGTTGTTGAGAAAGAAGTGAGAAAATTTCCTTCATTCTTGGGCAGACAAGCGAAAAACAAAGAGAAGAAAGAAACTCATTTGTCTTCTTTTATTTGGGTCTCGAGCGCAATCCAATTTGTGAACCTTTCCACTCTTTCCATGTCTCTGCTTTCCTCAGCCATATTCGACGCTTGGCAAACCATAAAAAATTCATTTCACACACGTTTAAAGGACTTTGCTGAACATTTTCGAATCATCTGACCTGAAAATTATGTTGTAGGGGGAAAATCGATGGAGTATGTGTTTACGACTTTGAAATATTTTTGCAGCTTTTAAACACACGTGAGTGTAATAAAAGACATCACATGACATAAGTGGGGAAAGAAGGAAGTTGTGAAAAATGTGCGACATAATCATATTTCATGAGATGACAACCTGAAAGTAAAACAAACAAGTTGTCTGCTAACTGCAGCATTTTCCGTCTTTATGGTGTGTTCATGTGCTATGCTAAAGAGACTGGAAAAAAGATTTAAGTTTCCTTGCGAACAACATCTTCTATCGTTAAACTTTATTCCTATGATTCCGTAAGATTTAACGTAGAAGAAAAAAGCAATTGCATGAGTTCATTGAACCTTTCTGTGCACGCATCTAAAAGATTAAATTGGGGAAGGAAGATGTGAAGATGGAATGACTAAGATGGATTCTTAGACTAAAAAAGGGAGACTTTAGATGCTAACATTAACTTAAGTTAATGTAACTTTTATTTATAACCTTAAGAGGAGAATCGTTTAAGAAGCAAGTAAAACACCTTAATCGATACAATTTCATCTGTTTTGTGGCTATAAGTAGCTTAAGTCATGTCAAAGTAAATTGCATGCAATATTTCACAACGATTTAAATTGTTATTGAAATGATAAGATGAACATTTGGACAGAAAGTCTCGATTGATCTTGAACGAAAGAAATGTTTGTGCAATTTTCACATTTATGTGAATATTCACAACCAAACCACACTTGATAAGAAAATTGGAAAATATTTGTTTATATGTTGAAGTCTCAAGGCTGCATAACCGTCCTTGTTTTAAGTTAAAAATCCTTTACATTTCTTGAACCTTTTTCAAAGCTTTATGAGCCATAAAGTTGGGAAAAAAAAAGAGAAATAAAACTTGAATAGATAAGGGTAACCAATTGTTTTTCATTTTAAGTATTGGAAAACACATCAACAAAGGCCATCACGTCGATGCTTTTATTGGCATGTGATAGTGAATAATGGAATGTTCCTGATGCTTTAAAAAGCTTCAAGATAACATTTTAAAAGGAGTTCAGAAATTTTTGTTTGGAAAAAACAAGAATTTGAGAGTTGTTATAGAAAGTCGTTAACTTTAATTGCTTTTGATACTTATTTTATTTGAAGAAGCATTCATTATGTTGTGAAACATAAAAACATAATTTCTAAAAGTATAAAAATGAAGTAAAATGTCTCGTCTCAGATGGAAAATAAATTTACTTGAATCACAATGACCAACAAGATTGTAAACGTTTTATGGAAGGGTTTCCATTCATGTCAGTGTCGATAGATGATGATTGATAAATTATTTAGGTCACTCAATAGGAAATCGTGGGAAATCGATTATGAATGAAACATGATGTTTGTGTACCCATGTTCATAAATTTGTTATTATGTATTTGAATCTATGATATCACAACAATGTTTCCAAACAATCTTTCATCAATAAATTTTACCTTGCCAGCTAGTGTAAACTACATCGTTTGTTTTTGTACCCTCTCGATATCATACAATATTGCATGGCCATCTTTGTACGAATATAAAAGTTTTCTTCTCTTCTTCCGAAAGATTTAACACGGAAAACGGAAAATTGCGAAAGTTCAATGAACTTTCATAAACACGCAACTGTAGCATTAAATGAAAAAGTTATTCGAGGAATGACATAAATGTTTGTAAAAGAACTCTTGAAAATTCATCACATCCAAAACGCATTAACACTGAAGTAGATTGTGCTTTTAGCTGAACACATTTCGATCTAAATTACGAAGAAATTAACATACGAAAGCGCTCTGGAAAATTCCTGTTGAATCATGCAAGAGCACTTTATGTGATGATGATTTAAAATTCTGTTTATGAAGCAGCGCAAAAACTGCATTTGGTTTTACTCAATTAAAGATGAATAGACCAATTTATATTTAAGTGAGAAAATATTTAATTTCATGAATTTGTTTTGAAAACTTTTTTTACTTCCAGATTTATTATCAAGTCGGCAATATCAAATATGACAAGAACAGAATAAAGGGAAACATGATTCGAACACATTTTGTAATCCCTTTCTGTTCCTTATCAGTACTTTCCATTTCAATTAAGCAAATTCCCTGCAGTGAGTGTAGTGTAGTGTAAAATGTTAATGAATTTCTTGTATCTATCTGCATAATTGAGATGACGAAGTAAGATGCGATAATATTTTCAATTAGGAATCTCATGGGACTGTGAAAACTTCTTTATTATATATTTTTCTTCCCCTAAGCAAAATATTATGAAAAACGATTAAATTAATTGTTTGTTGTAAAAGTTTTGCTTCCACTTTAATGTTGCACTTCTTTTGATTTTTTTTTAATTTCATTCGTTGCGCTTTCCTCGATTTAATTTTGGTACCATTTCCTCTTGCATAGCTAAAAGAAATTTGTTTTCACGTTACAATTGAAATGAAAAAAGGAAAAAACTTTAAATGAAGACAAAGACTTTCAATTAATCATAATGAATTTTTTTTACGTCTTTATTAAAACCGAGGACAGAAGAATGGAAAAGTTTTGTTCGTGAATCGATTTTTTTCCTCTAGGAAACATTTTTGCGGTTGAAATTTTAGCTTCGACAAATTTCGCATGCGAGAGGAAAAAGTGACAACAAAAAACTGTGAGCTTATAAAATCACCCGCTTATCGTGTCAGTGCGGAAAATCGAATTTGATCTAAGCGACAGCTGCTTGTTATTTCCGCGCATTTGAAAATTGAAATTTGATTTCTCAAATAGATATTCACTGACTTTTCCTTTCATCACATTTTTTGACTTTTCCTACTTGAATAAATTCCATGAAACGAAATGAAATCACTTTAAGATTTTGTTTTCATTTTACTGTAAAATTAAAGATGTCATCAAGAAAGAATGAAATTTTATAAAAAAATTGTTTTTGATATGCGGTAGACGTTGATGTGGTTTTCCATTTGCTCGTCTTTAAGTATCATGACGAAAGTCACCCTCGTAAAATTGCATCTTTCATGTCAAAAGAAAACCATGATTGAAGATTAATGTTCATTTAGTGATGTTGTTAGAAGTTTCTTCAAGGGGTGATGTGACAAACGAATGATTCATCGAGATTATCAACTTGAAATGTGTCCAGAATCTCAATTAAAAACAAGATGAAGACACATTCTGTTTTTGCGAGGGTAAAATTTATAAGAATGAAAAGATACAAGAAATGAATTGATGCTTGTTGTCTTCTGGTACAATTGAACCACTTTCAGAACAACTGAAGGAAGTTTTTAGTTGCTTTTATTATTACAGGTGAAAAATTGGCAATTATCTTGGTGAACGATAAATTTTTTGATATCTCTACAAAAATAATGGCTGACATTTCACATTCATGTATTTTTCCAGCTTTTATTTACTGCTCTTCTTGTCCTAATACGTAGATATTTTCTCTCTAAAAGAACATCAACGAACAAGTTGAAAACTGCTGGAATGTGTTACACAGAGAGGTTCACGATCTTTACATAAATATGTTATTTAGATGTAAATATTTCATGTCATAAGTTGAATTAAAATGCAAATTTAACAAGGAAGGAAAGCGGATGAGAGAAATGTCATCATAAAATAAAGTTTATGCAGTTGCTCTGCAGTAATGTCGAGAATACAGAAAAATGTAAGTCAGGTGGATCGTTAAAAAATAGAAGAAAAAACCAACAAGACTTGAATGCAAATCGCTGGTGAATAATGCTTGAGAACGACAATCAACGTCAACAAAAACATTTCCAATCGATTTTCCATTTTCATTTTTTATCAATAGAAAATTTATTTTTCAAAAAGAAGTATAATGGAAGGAATGCTTCTACCAGACATTTCAATTCTCATTCATTATGCGTCAGATAAGAAGCTCAAACTCGAGTCTTTCCATTCGTTCGATTTTCTAGTCACCAACGGGAAGTTCTTAGCTTTTTGAAGTGTTTTGTCGTGTTTCCTGCAGAGGAAGAAACTGAATATAAATTGGAATAGATGCATTGTGTAAAGTAATTCCTATTCCATTAAGATTGAATTTCTTTTAAGCGTAATTTAATGACTATTGTTCATGCTACCTTCTGAATAAAATTTCATAACTTTCCATTCTTCTTCCATCTAGATTCTCATTTTAGAATTTTATGACCTCGCCATCATTGAATCTGGTTGGTTTAATTTAAGTTATGTTATGATATGCAAATCTCTCCTCGCAACATAAATTTTATTCTCGTCTTTCTTTTTTTCTATGCGTGATATGATGAATTGCAAGTACCAAACCCATATCTGGATTTGGCTAAAAAGAATCATAAATCTCTGCACATTAAATTTTTTTTTGCTGTTACTGCCGCGTCTCCTACTCTAAAATTGCTTGTAATCAAATCCACGCTCGTTACCATCTGTGAAAATTTAAGCCATTCAGATAGCAAAAGGAGGGGAAACGAATGCTTGACACAAGAGCCAGACTTATTCAGAAATAAAACAAAAGGCACTGCAGATGAAATTCATTTGAAAACCACTGCGACGCGATTTTAAGCAGATTTTGAAATGTGGTTGTCGCAATTGGGATATTGTGATGTGATATTGGGGTGAGTGCAATTAAATCGGCTAAATATACATAAAACTTATATGAATAAGCTTCGATGTGATTTTAGAGATTTATTGAAGCAAATGTTTATTTGTTGTCACAGCTTTATTCTCGTAAATTCTCAATATCGCCAGAAACAGCTGACGACAAATGCGATGATTTGATTTCCAGATTTAATCTGTTCTGCTTTGTTTCATTTTGATCAAATCAGTTTTCGACAATATAAACTTTGTTCTTAATGAATAAAAACTACCAAGTGGTGACTTTCCCACTCTGCTTTCAATTAGTTGAAGTATTCTCTTAGGAATAAAAATGATTAAATTTCATTTAAATTTATTGTCAAAGTTTTTCGTTCACAAAGTGCAAGGCTTTTAACTTTACTTTATATTGTAAGGATTAACATCTCATGGATTTTCAATTCAATTTTCAAGGATAAAATTCAAGAGTGAAATAAGCAATTTTTCATTATACGCTATGTGTAAGTATGTGCTCTCAAATGTGCTTACGTAGCATGAAACTTCAGCATGGTTCATGAATGAGAATAAAAAAAGGTTTTTTCATTGCTGTCTGAAGGATTGAAACGTAGTAGAAGGATTTGCGCTTCCTTTTATCCTCTTTTTTTTGACGCACATGTTAAAGCTCATACATTATAATAAGATTTTCTTACACGTTTCTGAACTTGTATAAAATTTAAAGCTTAAATATTCTTGGGCGAATCTTATTTAATAAGAAATATTTTCATAGTAAAATTAAAGGAAAATTTAAGTTATGTACATACATATTAGTTTTAATTTATTATTTAATATCTAGGAGAGAACATTTCAAGAGGCTGCTAAAGTGATAATTTATTTGAAATGAACTCTAATGGATGCATAGATAATTCAGTAGAAAAGAATTGAAGGGTTGCCTATCATTTCATTTAAATAAAATTCATCTTCGCATTTTCAAGATCAATTTCTAAGTCTGAAATCGAACTACTTCATTATAAATTAAAGTTAATTTCTTCCTTCATTATTATCAATTAATTAAAGAGGCTCTTCATCACTCAAAAATAATGATCATGATTATAAGTACATTAAAATAAATTAATAAAGATTACGAATCAATTTCCATTTGAAATAATTGACTAAATTATTTAGTTAAACGTTTCTCAGTCTATTAAATGTCATTGGAAGAGTCAGCTAACACTTTTAATTATTCTAACTTTAACAAATTAAAGAGTTATTGAATTTGAATCAGAAATGTTGAGAATTAAAAGAAGTCACAAATTTCTTCTTAAGATTCTTTATTGGCAAGGAATATTTTACGGAATATTTCCTTTCAAGTTTAATCGAAAAACGGATCGCTTTGAGAAATGGAAAAGTGTTTTGATTTACAGTCGATTATTGTTTATTTTTATTATTTTTTCAACTTTTTTAATTTTGAAGACGATCTTTCACGATATATCTCAATTATCATCCTCTGACTTTAAATTGACTGTTATGCTTTATTTTACGTTTTTAGGCATTTCAGAGATGATTATTTGTTATTATTTTGTGAATTTCAAATGGAAAGAAATTCTGGGATTTATCAATGGAACGTTAATTTTGTTGAAAGAGATAGAAAGTCATAATTTGGTCATAAATTTTAGCATTCCTTCTTACTTGATCATTTATACTTTCGTGTTACTGCAAGCTGCTAATTTTTTACTACTTTATGTTGCTTTTACTGTCTTTATCCATACACAATTAAGTTTTGTATATTTAATATTTTTTTTTACATTTTATACATGTCAGTTGATAGTCGTGCTTATTTTGCTCCTGTTTAATTTTTATTCTGAAATTTTCAAAGTAATTATAACGAACAAAAATAAGAAACAAATTTATAAAATGTTTGACTCTTTTAATCAACTAAACCTAATCTTTTCTCAGTTTCTTATCTATACGATATTTTTTTTGTTTACTTCTATCATGTGTAATGGTTACATGTTTTGTTCTCAAATTAAAGAATTTTTAATTTCCAGAAAAATGCCAGAACCTTACAGGTTTGTAATTCAAATCACTTTTCTTATCTCTCAAATATGGATCGTGATTAAAGAGTGCAAAAACGTTTCAAATCCTGTAAGTATGGCTTTTTAAATCATTATTGTTTTACTTATACTTTAACGATATTACATTCCAACAGGTCACAAGTATTCTTGAAACTTTCTTCGATAATTCGGTTCAAAAAATAAAGAATAAAAATATTAGAAATGAAATAACTCATCAAAGCTTTGAGATGTCAACTTACTATCTTCAGAAAAAGGAGCATTGGAAGATCTTACAAATCAATGATTCGCTTTTAACTGCAGTAAGTATTTGGACAATAAATATGAAATTATTTATGAAAATTTCTTTGCATATTTTATTCAGATCATTTCACCAATAATAACGACAATTTTAACATTGATACAGTTCGAGTTGACCTTTGATGATGAATTAAGAAATCGAAAATATTCTTGAGCTGATGTAATTAAGAAAGATTTTTTTTAAAGTGTAGTGATTTAGAACCTTTTTTAAGGAATAATTGCTCCTGACCATTGAATAAAAGTGTCGCTTAAGTCTGTATTTAACACTAAAGCGATGGACTTGTCATATTAATTTTATAATTGATAATTGAACTTAACAATTCATCATGATCTAGAAACATAAATAGAATAAGTGCCGAACACTTTGAAAGACTTACAATAAATTAAATTTTCCAGGATTGATGAAAATCTATCTTAAATATTCATAATGACTACTCAATTATAATTATTATGAATTTAAGTAATATTGAAACAAATTAAGGAAGATTATAATTTAGATAGATTAAAATCGCTTTGAAATATTCAATTTTCATTAGTTGAATGAACAGTCTGTGAATATCACTGAAGGCATCAACATCAGTATTACCAATAATAACATAAAAATCATCAATTAAAAATGGTGTTGAGAATTAAAAGAAGTCACAAATTTCTTCTTAAGATTCTTTATTGGCAAGGAATATTTTACGGAATTTTTCCTTTCAAGTTTAATCGAAAGACCAAACGCGTTGAGGAATGGAAAAGTGTTTTGATTTATAGTCGATTATTGTTTATTTTAATGATTTTGTCAACAATTTCCTTTTTCAGATGTTTCTTTTATGATTTATATAAAAATACACAAGCTTCAGATGTAAGAATGACAGTTATATCTTATGTTTCGATCACAAGAGTTGTTGCATCAAATTTTTGTTATTATTTCGTTATATCCAAGTCGAAGAAAATTGAAAATTTATTTAATGAATTGCTGATTTCATTGAACGAGTTGGACAACTTTAATTTGGTGGTTGAATTTCATTTTCCTTTTCATTTGATTATTAATACATTTGTGCTATTACAGTGTGTCAATTTTGTTTATATTTATTTTATTAAGTCATTTATTATTGATCTAGATGGACATTATAATATGATTCCTATTTTCTTAACATTTTATCCATGTCAGTTGATTGTTTTATATTCATTCCTTCTATTCAATCTTTACAGCAATATTTTCAAAGTAATGATCATAAATAAAAGCACTGAAGAACTTAGGAAGGTTTTTGCATCTTTTAAACGCTTAAACCAAATCTTTTCTACTTATCTTATTTTCAACCTACTTGTTTTATTTGTTTCAATTATGTTTAATGGTTTTTCTATAAGTTCGAATATCAGAAAGATTCTTATATCAGGAAAAATCCCATGGACTTTCTTGCCTATTTCATTTCAAATCACTTTTCATGTTGCTCAACTTTGGATTATAGTAAAAGAATGTCAAAACGTTTCGAAACCTGTAAGTTTGAATTTTAAAATTTAAATCATTTCTTAATCATACTACACGATCTAAACCAACAGGTTGTACAATCGTTAGAAACATTGCTTGATTCTTCTATTCAACAAATAAAACATGAAAATTCCAATAATAATGTTCATCAAAGATTTGAGTTATCAACTTATTACGGTCAGAACAAAGAACATTGGAGAATCTTGGAAATCGATTATACTGTTTTAACTGCCGTAAATATTAATTATCAAAATTTTCGTCCTAAATTAAATAAATGTTTCTTTCAGATGTTATCTCCATTAATAACAACAATCTTGACCTTGATTCAGTTCGAAATAACTTCTTGAGAAATTGTTAAAAAAATTTGAATGATTACAATTCACATTAGAGAACTTCTCTTATTCTAGTTCAATTTAATAACATAAATAATAAATTAATGTCACTATTGATCGTATAATTAAGTTGTTTTGAAGTACTACCATAATAAATATACGATATCTAATGAAATACTATCTTTGAAGTTGATTTTCACATTAATCATGAAACACGTCATTAGAATTGATTCAAAATTTTTCGAAGTTTATTGTCTATTTTGATTAATGTCTAATTTTCTTTTAATTTCTCTTTCATAATCTGGATTCATAAATTAACTTTGTTTATTTGTCATTTTTCATGTAACATAAAAGATTTAAAGAAACTTTTCTAAAATTTCATGGTCAACAAATGATCAAAGTTGTAGATTTTCATGTAATTTTATCAATGCAAATCGTTTTGTCGTAAAGTTATGGAAACTAACCAGAAACCATACATTTTCTAGTTTAAAAAGTTTATTTTTGTCATTAAACGTTTATTTATGACAATTGCCATGATTTTTATTGAAAAACTTTTCTATTTTCTCTGATGTCAATGTGGCAGATTGTTGAAGAACTTTCATTCAGAGAAAACTTTTCCATATTTGAATGGAACGTAGTTGATGATGTTAAGGTTGTTAAAGTTATAGTTTATGATGAATATTCCCTCGATTACTTATATAACATGGAAAGCTAAATAATTTCGAGCAAATTTCATATCCGCAGCTTAGACCAAGTTTCGAATAACTTTGACACTTGAACAGCTGATCTCTAACATGAGTTCGATTTGCGATAAGTATAGTTTTATTAAATTAAGTACATCAACATCACAACTTTTAAATTTAGTGCTTGCGAATGCAAAGTTAATGAGTATCAAAATTTATAAAATAATTTAAAGTTTTTGAAATTCTTTGTATTGAAAAATATTTTTACTCTCTGCAAACACTCCGCTCGACAATTTATGATGCAAAATATTATCCATTCATTACTTAGGGGCAAATAACAAGGATAAATTTATGAGAGTTCAAATGATGGCTTAACATTCATCCCCATAAAATATTTAAATTATTGTTCTTTACTTTTGATGAGGTTAAGTAACGAATAAAATAATGAAAATGATAAATAAAAGCAGAAACAAAAGCAGTTCACTTTTGAAAATAAGGGGAGCACTATGAAAACTTTTGCAGAATTTTTAATTTGACAACCTTGAATTTTAGGATGAAGAATTCATGAAGATTAATGAAAAAAAATCACCTTTTTAAATCAAATATCTAATAAATTTCTTAAGAAATTCTACATTAGTATTCAACATAATTCAAATAACATTAAATGAGCATAACACTGCACAACCGAACCCCATGCAATTATCTGTGTATGTAGCATTGGATGTAGTCACCATTTCAGATTTTTTATCTCTCTATTTGTTTATAATACAATCGTTGATGAATTCAGAAAATAAATTCAATGATTCGACTTAAATCCTCTGAGCTATAAAAAAGTTATTTATTAACAGAATTCTAATGCCCATGAGAATTTCCATAAATTCCCTACTCGTCTTGACATTCAAAGTCTGACTTTAAGTGATCAATAATATTGAGGCAAGTAATGGCAGTTACCAGCGAAGAAAGAAGCACCAATATTAAACAATTTAACGTAATGGTTTTCCATAATGAACTGTTCTCTTCATTCTTGCTCTGCTTCTAACGACAGTCGGCAACTTATACACATTTTCGGATTTATTAAATTAGTTTAAATTAATATGTCACACACATTGTGCATCTGGTGTGTAAATTGTTGGATAATCATGTGACACTAGCCAGAGGGATAATTTAATTTGGAAAATGACTCACCATTAATGCATTGAGTCGTCAGTTGATGATTTTTTATGATGCGCTCAAATATCGTTTGCTAGCACCCATTAAATGATTGTCATGTTCCTCGCCAGTTGAAAACAATTTTTTGTAGCAGATTCACGACACAATGTCTGTTGGCATTTTGGTTTGTGTGCAATTTGACATTCATTGAGTACCGTGACAATTTTGGTTTCTACAATAAATTCTCTCTGAATGCGAAGCGTGCTTGCCAACAAATATGAAATGTTATCTGAGACTGGATGAATATTGTGTGTCGGTTGCACTTTCATATTAAAATATTATCAGAATTAACCCTTTTTATGTCAAGTTTTATGAATAAATATGCATCCACGATAATTGACTGCTTCAAAAATGTGAAAGGGCAACAGAAATTACCCTGATTCCTTCCCTTGACATCGATCCATCAGTAGACTAATTAGGAAACGTTAAATTATTCATAAATAATAAACATTGAAGACTTTTCAATCTCATTTATTCAATACAAANATAGATTTCCATAACTTTTGATCGAAGTGGTCAAAATAATAATAAATAATTTTCGTTTTTTCCAGATTATTTTATATTGCGACAAAACTTGTTGAAGTGAAAAAGTAAGCAAATTTAAACACCCAAAAGCAAGGAAACAAAAGCAAAATGCAGTTCAACATTCATTACCGGACATAACTCAAAATATATTTGACACACCAATCGATTGTTGAGTCATTTCGTAGAAAAGTTTTACAAAGAAAACGAACAAGAACCAAAGAAATTGTCCTTTTTAAGATGATGTCAATGTGATCAAAAAATGAACTGAACAACAAATCGAGAAGAATTATTTTTGCACCTTGGGGACTTCTCTAAATAATTGAAACTGAAGGCAAATATTAAAATAAGTTCAAAAGTGTCTCGTTGATAAGTTATATGCAAATGAGTAAAAGAATGAACAATTGTGAAAAATGTTTCAGTTAATTTCGAAGATTCAGCAAAATATCAAAATTCGTAATGAAACATTTAAGTTCAAGAAAGATGAGCTAAAGATCATTATAAATATTCGATTCAGAGCATATTTGAATAATCTGAGAGGTTTACAATTTAGGATGTCGCTCAGAATAGAACTCTTATCACTTAATAAAATAATTCTTAAAAGATGTGTTCACACATTTCAGTTTTTAATTCAATGTTTAGTAATATCTTGAACAGCGAAGTTTGCATACATATAAATAAAGCATGAGGTCAGTTAAAAACTTAATGTATGAAATTGTTTTAAATTTATTAAAATTCTTTTGTCGTTTCAAATCCAGAAAATTTGTGAAATTTTACTGAAATCATTTTTTGATGTGTTCAATATGCAAGTTATGTGAAATTAAAACAATTCCTTCACACAGACTTGAGCTGTTTTGTTGAGATATTAAAAAAGTTTAGGATGACAATCGAAAGTTTGTCAGACAAGAAGAAACAAAAAGTTTCTTGTTTTCCATTGAGTGCAGTTTGCATTTAGATGAACGATTATTTACTGACAATCCTCCCATTTTTATGTCTTTCCGATTCAGTTGCTTTAATTTTCTTGCACATGGAGCAAAATCCATGCGAAGCTGTTGAAGACTTCGATGAAGCTTTTTCGTTGGGCTCAATGTTCCATGAAAATCATCTCTAAAATATTTATTTATTTTCGTTTGTGGTTCTTGTGGCTTCCAATTTTGGTTCGTTGCCTGGATTATCCTAACAACATTTCCTGAAGACGTGGATGGGAAATGAAAACCTTTTCGGTTTAAAAACTCACTGCGGAAAATAATCGAGCAACATAAATTGACTTCAATTTATCGTTTCTATTCGACTTCCCTGCTTGAAATCTCCACATCGTCAAAGCATTTGAGATTATAAATTTTATAACAGAAACATTTATTTTACTTTTCTGTGGTCGCTTTGAAATCATTGGCCATAAACAAGCACATGAATCATTGAAGTTCCTTTTTATTTCATTTCATTTCCTTTATCTGCAAACAATGAAAAAGTTGTAGAAGAGAAAGAAGAAATTTCTCGAGAGAAACTCAATTAAACAGCCATTCGACAATCTGGTCGAGACCTTCTCTGGTGATAGCACTCGATTCAATTATTGTGATTTCTTGTGAAACTTGAGCTTTCAGCCTCTCAATTTGCAACATCAACAAGGCTTCGTTTCTCATTTGTCGATAGGCGTAATCCATTTTCGTCAGCACCAGACAAATTTTAGCTTTTTGCAGCTTTGGCTCAGCGAGAATCGAATACAAAAGAACGCCTTTGGTGACAAAGGTTGGAGCCAACAACAACAACAAGAGCAGCAGGAAAGGCAGAAAAATGAATTTAATTATAGAAATGAGAAAAAAGAAAAAGAAGGAAATGATTTTTGTTTACCAGCACAAGAAATTTGGCACAAGTTGGATGTGTCGACAACAAACAGAATCTTCTCGACACTCTCCGAGTAATATTTCTTCCACATCACAGCCATCTCACCACCCAACTCACGAATTGCGATATTTTTCTTCGATCCCTTCTTCAATGGCTTCTCGAGATTGTGAATGGTAAAGATGTTAGTTCCGACTGTGTTCACAGAATGTGTCGTGAAATTGACACTGCCAGGGTATTGAATGCTGTTGAGAAGCATCGTCTTGCCAGAATTCCGTGGTCCAACACACAAGAACGACATGACGATTTTCAATTTGAAAGTTTCAACTATTTGTTTGATCGATTTTACACGAGAATGTCATGACGACGACTATGGAAACAGCTGACTAGTTGCAAGATTCATTCAATGTCATGACAGTGAAATATTTCTTAAATTGAATAATTCAACAACATCGTTTATTGTCACATTGACAGGACATTGACCGCCATCGAGACGTAAGTAATTTCCTTAATGAATATTCTCTTGTGACCAGTTTGGTTGCAATCAATTTAATTGCGTGTTTAATCGTTCGTAAGTGAAGCGTTCAATTCGAATGATATTGTCGAACTATTAAGTCACAACAAGCAAATGGTTGAATCATTTACGCGAGTTAATGTGGACAAGAAGAAGTCAAGAAGTCCAATTGTTGAATCACTTGACTTCTTGTTTTATTTATCGAGATTGTTGGGTGTTATTCCATATTCATTGTCGGAATATGTGTCGAAGAAGCGATTCGAACTTTCGCAGTTTGGAAACATTTTCTGTCTCGTGTCAATGATTCATTTCATTGCACATTATCAGTTCTTGATGGGTTCGTCAATATTTTCGGGAGAAATGAACAATTCAAGTGGAACTCTCACGACAGTCATCGGCATATTCATAATCTACTTGGAGCCCCTAATGATGGCAGTTGATGTGCTTGCTTCTCTAATCAATCAGAATCGTCTCATCTCAATCTTTGATCGCTTGAAGCGAATTGATGACAAATTGGTCAAGGAAAACATTTCGTTAAACTATCAGGTCATCAGAAAGTATTCAATCATCTTCATTGCAATTGCTGCTATCTGCGAAATTTCTCTTCAAGCAGTCTATTTGATTTCATTTGATTCTGATCCATTTTCGTGGTATTCGCTTTATTGGTTTGTCGTAACAATTCCAACGTTCAGCAACAGTGTCGCCAAAACATGGTTCCTTGTTCTAATCTTGTTGGTTCAACAGCGATTGCGGGCAATCAACGATTACTTAAACGACACCAAGAGAGTTCTCTCCGAGCGGAAAATGCGAAACATTAACACCATCGGATCCAATCACAGAAAGGATAATTTATTCATGGAAAACATCGAATATTTGGAGAAGGAGTTCTTATCAACGAGAAACGCTAAAATTAAAAGTGACAACGCTTGGGCCGTCAACTCAGGCATGACGAATAAAGTTAACGATTTCAACATCTTCGGCCAAACGAAATCGAAGTCAATCATCAAAGTCCGTCCTTTTGCACTGAACCGTGAAGGTGAGAAATCCTCGATTGAAGTTGATTGATGGGCTCGGGAAAACCTTTTGCATTCATTCATTTATTCATTCATTTATAGAAGCAGAGGCAGGTGGGTATAAAAGATCGATGCACATGAATGGGTGGAACGTTAATGACCGCGACATTCTAATCGGAGATAAGATGGATGAAAAATTAATTAATTTATGTCGAGCGCATGATGAAATTTGCGAGATTGCCAAGGAAGTCAATCGAATGTTCAGTCTTCAAATGTTGTTGACGATGGCTTACGGATTTCTTCTAATCACTGCTGAATTTTATTTTCTCTATTGCGGCTTGTTAAAGCAGGTTCGAGTAGAATCTCGACACGAATCATTGAATTAATTAATTGAATCGATTTAACTTTCCAGCCAGTCTCGACTTTGTTCGAGAGGACTTCAAACATTCCAATCACCATCTCAGCCATCGTCTACACCGCATACAAATGTGTCGTTGTGATCTACTTCAGTTGGAAGACCAAAGTCGATTCACAGAAAACTGGAATTCAACTGCACAAGATTGCGAATGTCGTTGATGAAAGTCACTGCTACAATGTCTGCAATCATTTGTCGTTGAAGTTACTCAACCATCATTTGAACTTTACTGCTTGTGGCTTTTTCGATTTGGATATGACGACAATTTACGCAATAAGTGGTGCGATAACGAGCTACCTAATCATTCTGATTCAGTTTAATTTAGCAGCGATTCGAGAAAGATCTTCGTCTCCCATTGCAAGTCTAGATTCAAATGCATTGCAATGGAACAATGGAACAAAAGTGGAACTTTCAATTCCAACATTTTCACCACCAACACTTGATACAATCAACCCTTAGGCGAACATGAATTGCAAATTATAAATTGGAAACCACCACACACAAAAAGTTGGTTCATTTCTTTCACAGACAATGGAGGCAGCAATTATATCATCACGAGTGTGTTAAAAGCTGTTCTAAGTACTCACCATTCCTTCGTTTAATCAATATTAATGTAAGAGTTTGAGACTTGAAAAAGTTTTTTATTTCGTGAGTTTAACTTTTATCACGTTTAATGTAATCCTCGAACACTGCTTGTTCAAATGGAAACATGGGTCGGACGGGAATCGAATTGCGTACATTTGTTTAACATTTTTCGACTGTGCTCCCCGAAATGTTCAACTTTTGAGATATCATAAAAGTTTGTGTATCAAATACCTTCTCTTATTCAGCCACTTAATCTCTATAATGCTTCATTGTTTGAAAGTGAAATTGTCGGAAAATTCTTGACTGTTGATAATGGAATGTGAGTGAGCTTTACTTTAAGGGACTTTGATTTCAAATATCGTATTTACTTAGGATCCATACTCGACATTCCTTAGGTGGAGAGGTTGAGTTTCGTTGATATCGTTAAAGGTTCACGAAAGGTTTTTATTTCATTCATTTCGTTACATTTACTTTGCTCCAAACTGGTCAAATAATTCTTCTCCTTCTTTCGATTATTCACTGAAATTTTCTCTTTTCCCAAATTGAGATGAGAAATTCACTTCAAAGCAGTTCAAAATTTTTAATTTCAAAATTCATGGCAATGAAAGTTAAGCTTTAAATTCTTCGAAGCAAATCTGTTACGATTTCGTCCCCAATTAAGATTTAATGACTTCTACGTCACATGTGTAATGAAGATATCGAGGCAATTAGGTTCACATTGAAAATTATTGACGCGTTGTGAGTTTTTTGTCACGTGCGCGGCTTCCTCATTTCAATCTCTGAAAGAGGGTTGCGAATGAAGGGAACGAACATGGAAGGGTGTCGGGTCTTCTGGAAAAGAGAAAAATGAGACATCTCTCGAACATTAATAACTTTACTTTTTAATTATTATGAAACATGTAAGCATAAATGTTCATTCTTTAATGTGAATTGTAAATTTGATGTTAATTTATTAAATGCGATATGTGTAAACAAATGTCGTCGTTTGAGGTCATTTGTGGCGATTATTTCGTCGCTTAACATTCACAAATCGTTCTTTTTGCAGAGCTCATCAAATAAGTCAGTCAAGGATATTAAAAGAATATTTTATTGAATGATGAGGGAAGAAATATTCTCATCTCGTCCACAAACTTTTCATTATTTAAGTGATAAAATTTTATGTCTTTCTTCTCGCCATCAGAATTCAAATGTGATCCGAGTTTGAATTGAATGTTGAAGTAGTTTATCATCATTGATATCAGTTTCATCTTGTTTCGACTGAAATTATATTCGCCTTTCTATTGTTTTATTTAACTGCACAAGTGCGAAGATCTGGCTAGGATAATGAATAGTTCAGAGACGTCATTATGCAGTCTTGATGCAGTTGTTGTCTTGATCCCGAATAGAGTTACGAAATAAATTGAATTTGAGTATCTAAACATGCACGCTTTTCATGTTCGTTCGAGGAATAGCAAAACATTTCAGTCGAGAAAAAGTAAATTTAATGTGTTCCTGTGAATAATCAATTTGGAAAAACAAAACGGGAAAACGGGAAATTAAATGCATCGATAGGGAATCGGAAAGAACGACACAAAGAAAATTGGGAAAATATCGTGTGTCTGCTTCACAATAAACTTCAGCAATGGATGCACAATGCAATCCATGGTAATCTACACATGACATTTTATTCGGGTGATTAATAGATTCAGACGGTCGTTAACTCTATCAACAATAAATAAATTCGTTGCTTATTTGTTCTGCCAGAACGGAAGAGTTGACAATATCAAGATTATTGAGACTTAAGTAGCTTATTTTATTTTTACAGTCATCAATTCATTCATAAAGGATTCGAAGATTGATAACAAACAGACATAAAAGTGAATTTCTTTTAAAGAAAATCGAACAAATCCAACTTTCATGTTCATTTCTGTGACTTGAATATCAGTTCCTTCCCACTCATCATTATGTTTAGTGATTAATTTTACCACATGTGGCTTCATTGTGCAAACATTTTCTTTGGTGTTGTTAATAATGAATGAGTCAATATTTTCGCATCTTCAACTCACTTTTCTTTGTATTGAATAAATGAGATTGAAAAGTCTTCAATGTTTATTATTTATGAATAATTTAACGTTTCCTAATTAGTCTACTGATGGATCGATGTCAAGGGAAGGAATCAGGGTAATTTCTGTTGCCCTTTCACATTTTTGAAGCAGTCATTTACTGTCAATTATCGTGGATGCATATTTATTCATAAAACTTGACATAAAAAGGGTTAATTCTGATAATATTTTAATATGAAAGTGCAACCGACACACAATATTCATCCAGTCTCAGATAACATTTCATATTTGTTGGCAAGCACGCTTCGCATTCAGAGAGAATTTATTGTAGAAACCAAAATTGTCACGGTACTCAATGAATGTCAAATTGCACACAAACCAAAATGCCAACAGACATTGTGTCGTGAATCTGCTACAAAAAATTGTTTTCAACTGGCGAGGAACATGACAATCATTTAATGGGTGCTAGCAAACGATATTTGAGCGCATCATAAAAAATCATCAACTGACGACTCAATGCATTAATGGTGAGTCATTTTCCAAATTAAATTATCCCTCTGGCTAGTGTCACATGATTATCCAACAATTTACACACCAGATGCACAATGTGTGTGACATATTAATTTAAACTAATTTAATAAATCCGAAAATGTGTATAAGTTGCCGACTGTCGTTAGAAGCAGAGCAAGAATGAAGAGAACAGTTCATTATGGAAAACCATTACGTTAAATTGTTTAATATTGGTGCTTCTTTCTTCGCTGGTAACTGCCATTGCTTGCCTCAATATTATTGATCACTTAAAGTCAGACTTTGAATGTCAAGACGAGTAGGGAAATTTACGGAAATTCTCATGGGCATTAGAATTCTGTTAATAAATAACTTTTTTATTGCTCAGAGGATTTAAGTCGAATCATTGAATTTATTTTCTGAATTCATCAACGATTGTATTATAAACAAATAAAGAGAGATAAAAAATCTGAAATGGTGACTACATCCAATGCTACATACACAGATAATTGCATGGGGTTCGGTTGTGCAGTGTAATGCTCATTTAATGTTATTTGCATTCTATACTGAAAACTAAATCGGATTATTTTTCAATCTCTTCGTTCGCCCTCGCATGTTAACTTTCACAATAAAAACCAAATTTTATCTTTTTTAATCTTTTTTCACTAGATATCTATCTAACTTTCCGTACCGTGCATGGCATTGAAATTTCTTTCGGCGTTGATATTTTTAATCTATTCTTCTTAACTTGGATTTGAATGTGACATGAGAGAGAGAAAATCAAGGAGAGGGTTTTTAAATGAGAGCGATTTTTTTTCGAAAAGGCACATAGAGAGTCTAAATGTTTTCAAAATTTCTCTGAGAGAGCGAAATGATTTCTGCTGCTTCAACTTCTTTGTCAATTTCGAAAGGTTTGCTTTACATTTAGGTAGTCGGCGACAATGAAAATGATATCAGAACCTTTAACAAAATGCGTACTATTGTGCAGATATAGGAAGTGCGAGGGTGGAATTTAAAAAATAAGTGAATAAATATGCAAAAACATTCATAATTATGCTGAACGTTCAGAGAAATTTACAGAGTTTCATTATCATGAATCAGACTCCGTCGTTTTAATGTTCATATTCGAAAGGTCTACCGAGACTTAATTAAAAATGCAATTCACGTTCGCTACCAGATTGTACTTCTTGTTCCCTTTTGTGTGTTTTTAAAATGTTTATTGTTTTCATTAAATACAGTGGTGAAAGAACAGTTTGTTGAAAGTATCACATTGAAAGTATTCATCCCTTTTCTAACTTCACATAATTTGGAACACCGAGATATAACTTTGTGAACAAGCTCCATAACATTTTATAGCCACTACAATCACCTAATTGAATTAAAACAGTAGAAAGCATACTTTTCGTATTTAATATTTTTAATTTCATGATATCTCAAAATATATTTAACAATTCAGCATTGAAATGTATCAAGGGAAATCCACTTAACATTCTAAGTTCGTTAAATATTTTTTTAATCTATTTGAGATACAAATTTATTCGTCTCTAGCTCGTTCACTTAGCTTCTCTTCAACTCGTACAGACTATCAAATATACATTTTAAATCAAGTCTATCACTAGTCTGAAATTTTAACCTTTACATATTCGAAGCACATAGAAACTAGGAAAAGATATTAATGTTGCTTCCATGTTTTAATATAGTCTGAATAAAATCACCCTCCTATAACATTTCTCAATCCTATCTGATGAAAAACTCTCATGGGATTTCCAATAACATCATCAAATATTTCCGAGCCACTTACGCATCGTATTTTCGATATGAAAGTGAAATCATAAATATTTAATTTGACTCTTCTATAAACTTATCTGAAACATCTGCGATGTAAGATCTAAAAGCTGATAGAATGAAATTCATTCTACTGTTGACAACTTCAACGTCAAATAATCATTTTCAATTGTGAGTGTACTAAAAATATTGACTTATTAAACTCTTTATTCGTTACACATCAATAAATATGACACCAGAAAAATCTAGGTCAAATACTCAATAAGCTTTTGTTCGTAAATTACTAGCTCTAACAAGCTCAACATCATCAGCCATGCTCTATCAAAACATTGAAAACTTTCCTCTCAATGAAACTTCTCCAACAATCTGCCACGCCAAAAGCAGTGAAAAGAGAAAAGTTTTTCAATAAAAATCCAGGCAATGCCATAAATAAGTATTCGATGACAGAGAAAAGTTTTCCGGCGAGAAAAAGCGTGCGTCTATTGATGTGTTCCTATTACACAAGATTAACTTCCATTTAGAGCTTTCTTTTCTTTTCGGAACTCTGTTGAATTGCTTCCATTTATTAACACATTCAAACGCTTTTATCTAAATTGATCATTTGGCACCAAAAATGAAAAACAAACGAATAAAGCTATTCAATAAATGCGATGAAATCTCAGCTAAATGTTTACATTTTTTTCTGTGAATTCTTTTGCTATGCTTTTTATCGTTTCCAAGACTATCAAGATTATTGTTTCATATTTATTTCTCACATTGGAAAGCTTTCTTACAGAGTTTGGAACTAAACTTAAAACCTCATCATGTACTGCAACAACACATAACTCATTATCTCAATCCCTGGATGTTTGCTGGTAAAAAGTAAACGATGATTGATACGATTGATCACAAACAAATTGTTGATAACGTAATATTTATTTACGAGTTATCGATTTCCCTTTTTTATCTTACATCAAAGAAAATGTTTGAAGATTCGACATTCCTAGAACGTTTGAAACTTGAATTTCGACTTGCGTAGCATTAATAATGCAAAATTGAATTGCGGAAGTGTCGTTTGGGCTTGCTAGCGTAGTTTATGCCTATTTGATAATAAGAGAACGCTCATACATGCCAATTTAGTATTTTCAACATGATACACACAAGTTTCCAATGAAAAAAAGTTCAATTAATGGATCATAAACTGTGAACATGTCAATTGTATGCAATACTCACTGCATGGAAAATGTAAAGCTCGTTATCTAGGAAACTGACGACAATAAAAGTGATTACGTTGCACATAAATTCCTTCAAACTGCGAAGTTAACAATATGAATCAACATGCACTCATAAATCTGTAAACAGAGTAAACTGCAATATGTAGAAAGGAAAATTGCATCGAAAGCTGACTTTTTAATGATCCGTTTTCGTTATAAGTGTTTTCTATCATAATTAAACTTAGCTTCTCTCACAATTATCCATTCTATGATTTTATGTGAAGATAAAGTTGTTGCTTATGATTCATATTTAATGTATATAAAGATATTCATTATAAAATAAATTGTGAAAATG